CAAATATTAGAAGTGAATATTTTAAATTTCATCTGTAATCTTAAAAGTTTATGTGCTTTTACTCTTTTTATTGGTAAACTGGGATAACACCTTTAATTCAAAGTTCCTTATATTTAGGTGCACATGGTATATGTATATGTATGTGTGTGTGTGTGTGTGTGTGTATTTTTGTTGTTGTTGTTGTTGTTATGTGCCATCGAGTTGGCCCTGACTCAGAGTTACCCCTCCTTGGGTTTCCAAGGTGGTATGTCTATGCATGTAGATTGTCCAACCTTCCTTCTGAGGAGTGGCTGGTGGCTTGGAACTGCCAGCCTTCTGGTTAGCAGTCAGGTGCCTTAGGCACTATGCCACCAGAGCTACTGTGTGTGTGTACACATATATGTACGTATGTATGTATGTATGTGTGTATGTATGTATGTATGCATGTATTTTAAGGTGCTCTTGTAGTGCGATGGTTGGCAGTTTGCTCCTTCTGTGAAGGAGAAAAGACCTGGTGATGTGCTCCTGTAAGGATTAAAGCCTAGAAAACCCTCTGGGGCAGTTCTATGAGTCTAAATCAATTCAATGGCACACAATGCAAGAAGAACATGGTACTCTTTCAAATTAATTTAAGAAATTAAGGAGCAGTTGAAGTTGATATTTTCCTTTTTTAAAAATGGAAACATGTCCCAGAAAAATAACTAGAAATTATCCACATTTTAAGTGGCCAATGTATATTTAGAAGTACAAAAATTTTGAAATGTTAGAGACATATTCTCAATGTCCTACTCTAACCTAATCTCTACCTCTCACCAAATGCTTTTACTAATTTAGACAATTTTGAAGAGTTCTGTCCTCTTTAAGATATATAAAGAATTCTTTTTTCTGCCTTTCTGGACTTGTCTTATTGAGAAAATATCAAACCATGTAAAATTTTGGATGTTTATCTTAATAGAACAAAAAAACTTTTTACATAGGTTCACCCCCATTACTCACAATAATGCCACATGCTATAGTCCAGGCAGATATTTATTATTTTATATATGAAAGGATATTAGAGCAGGGCTATTTCTCAGTGGAGCAGGGGAATGTAAGTTGTCTGAGTTTTAGTTCCTTATAAAGGCTAATGTAATGAGTTCTTAGAAGGCATTGTGGAGCTGCGATTAAAAAAATCCTGTTTAATAAGCCATAGCAGACTTGTGCCATTCCCCACATAACAACTCAGAGAGGAATCAGGGTTACTCCCCCC